AAAGTTTTATGTCTCTTTAGCTATCTGACCCTGACTGAGAATAAGCCCTCACAGTTCTTTGAATGCTATCTATTGTTTGTCCTTACCTGTGTTCTTGTGCAAATGAACACAATAAAAGCCCCTTGAGGAAGGGGCTCTTGGCCCTTCCCCTTTGAGGGATCAGCCACCTTTCCTCCCCAAGCACATCATGTCTTGGTAGTTTCACTTTTATCCAAGGCAGGCGGGGGCATAGGTGGGGGCGGGACTTTGCAGGCAAAGTTGCCCCCACAGTCTTCTATATGTCTCCATGTACACTGTGCAAAAATTTCCACAGGGCATATACCTAGGAATATAATCGATGCATTGTAGGATGTACTCATCTTAACTTTACGTCATTGATTAGGTTGATTTCAAAAGGACTGTGCCAACATACACTCCCACCAGCAGCATCCAATAGGTCCTGCTATCTCACATTTTAACAACACTTGTTAGCCCAACATTTTGTCTCTTATGTTTATGTTACAATTTGACTTTGCAAGCAGACCCTTACATTAGATGTGACTCTACCATATTGGACTTTTAGGACTTGATGAGGGACTTGATGACCATGATACCTAGGGTACTTGATGCTTATGCCATAATAGGTGCTCAGTTTATGAGAGAAAAATGAAATGAATCTAAGCTGTAGGTGTTTGGTAAAATTACAGATCTTTCATGTTTAAATTTTTATCATTTTTATTCTTGATTCTAATCATTCCCTCTGTCTACAAATTATGAACCCAATGTCAACTTATAGTGGTTTATTTGTTCCCAAACTCAAGCTACACAAAAAATTTAATGCAGCAGTCCAGGTGGTGTCCCTAGAAGTAGAAAATGTATCACATTTGCTTTTCTGTAATACAATAAAAGTCTGTAAGATGAATTTTAGAGGCAAAAATAAAATAAAACCTCCACAATTCCTAACCTAATTTCAGTACTTACATAGTTCCTATATGTTCCAACATACTTATTTTTAAAATGGTATAGCATTCTCCCAGTAGATGTCAACCTTACTCCTATGTTTCAAGTGGGCACAGCAGCCCCAGAACCTGCACACCCATAGCCACAAACATGGGGAGGCCCATTTTCAACTCCTGTTCTTCTTCCTTGATCAAAACAAATAAAGAAGGGGTGCCAGCACCTGTGAAGATGTTTCTACATGCAACAGGTTTGCAGTGAGCATTGGCTACTGGGATGACCCTTACATCCAGTATCTTGTGAGCCTGTCTAGAAGAGAAAGACCCCAGAAATTAACAGAGGATATTTTGCTCAAGTTCATGGCATCAGTAACTTAAAAAGGCATTTTTACAGAAGATAAAATGTGACTGTCACATTTTAAAACTTGGGGCTGGGATGGGTACCACATTCTGAATATTTAAGAATCAAGATCTTCTCCCAACTAAATAATTTGAAATTAACTTTCTATTGATAGTCACAAGAAAGCTGTACACCATCAAATTTAAGCCTCTCTATCAAAACCCGTTTTAGAATTACATTCTGAGGACACATTTCAAATTGATGGACACCAAGATTCAAAGAGATCTGCCTTAAATGGAGATCTTCAAGATTTAACTTAACTAGAAGGGAAACTAAAGAAAAATAACATGAATACACAATGCAACACCTGTGATAACTGATTGTGTGCTGGTCTATGAGACTCCAGAGTAGTCTGCAAACCTAATCAGGTGGGCAGCCAACAGTTTGAGGACTGCCACTTTCATAACTACAAACACATGAACATGGACGATTGGTTTGAGCAGATCACGACGGAAAACCAGCAGAGATGACAATGTGACCCTGATGGGGGTGGAAACCTCAGAAAATATGGTTCCCATTGAATGGGTGGGAAGCAGCACCTGTCATGAATATGATGGATTTGTACAGGAGAATCAAGCTCCTTGAGTTCCTGGACAAAATGGAGATTCTGGAGGAGTGAATGAAGCATTATTACCTCTGCTGGACAACTAAAGGAGGAAGGGAGCTAAGTTTGAAGGAGATCACTTGCTAATCTGTTCAAGGATCCTGCTGAGCCAAAAGGTGCAGTCAGTGATCTTCTCAGAGCTAATATGCTCAGTTTCCTGAGTGATGGCCAGGTTCCTCTACCTGCCCGTCCTACACTTGAGAAACCTGTTACTATGGCTGTCGAACCGCTTCTTGTTCCTGTTGATTTATTGTTTAAATAAATCTTAGTTTTCAGTTGAATAAAAATAATATAAATTCTGCTTTACATACTTATTCGATTGGGTTTTTGCTTGGTTAAATTTCCACAATTAAGTTAAAATAATTTTTTACAATATATAGGAGCTATTTTTAATAACCTATAAAATTTGGTTCTCAAATGCTAGCTCATGGACCTCTGCCAATTTCTGATGAAAGCTTCACTAGCCTAAAAGGCAATAGCAGAAGACAGAGTAAACTTTTTATATAACTAAATACATCCATTTAAAGTAATGCTCTTTATTCTGAGATTATATTAGTGTTACCGAACAGAGGTCCAAGGGGGGGCAATATTTGGCCCACCCAGGGATGCCAAAAAAACTGCTACAGAACAACAGGGGCCCCTCCCAAGGACAGTATACTAATACCTGCTGGGCTCATCTGTTCGCTGCCAATTGGAAAGACATCTCTCAATGCCAGAGATCTGTGAAAAGGAAATGAAATGTTTATTTAATGCTATTCAGGCCTAATGCCTCCATTAAAATATCAAAGTCCTTTAGGGTATACACCTACACTGACAGTGCTCCCTCCTCCCACTGTCCCAACTCTGGGTACTGCAAATCAGCAAAAGAGCACAAGTTCGTTTTTTCAGGCTGCTGGTATTATCAGCTGTGTTGACTATCCAGGATCTCCAGTTAATCCAAAGTCATGTGGCACCTTCTCATGGTCCACTGGCAAAGAGTTCTTTGTATCAAGTTCCAGGCAAAGTCTCTTCTGCTTCCCAGGCCACATGGCCAAAGGGAGCATCCCAAAGCCTAGTGGGCCTCTTCTACCAAAGCTGCAGGGGTCCGCACTCTGCCCAAAGCATGTGTCTGTCTTCACCTGGCTGCAGGGATCTCCATTCTGGCAAAGCTGCGTGGCTCTCTCTTCCATCTTGATGAAAGGAGGTCCTCACTCTGCTAAAACCACGTGCTTCTCCCTTTCTGGCTGCAGGGGTCTGCACTCTTCCAAAAACAGCATGGCTCTCCCATTGACCTCACCAAGACGGGGTCCTCACTCTGCCCAAAACCACATGGCTTTTTTTTCACCTGGCCAAGAGGGTATCGTTACTCTGCTGAAACCGCATAACTCTCCCCTTTCAATGGTTGCTGGTGTCTGGGTTTAAATCCCCACCTCACCCCCACTTCAGTCCTCCTTTCCAGACCCATTTCCAACTCCTCCCACAACTGGTTACACCTGCCAGGACTCCCATACTATTGCAAGTTTACTGGGCTACCATAGTGAGTCTGGGCAAGTGTGGCTCCATGGTGTGGAGCCAATCAACTCTAAGCTCTCACGCAGGCACTGTAACTCTGGGGGACCTGTCCCCAGTTATATCCTGGGTAGAAGTCACTCCTTTCTCCCTGGCTCAAAGCATGGCCACAGCTATTTAACATATCTATGAAACCAGTTAAAGGTTATAGATATGTTAAATAATCATTCCAGAGATTAGCTGCAAAACTGTTGCTATGCAAAACAGCTCTCAATGGCCCTGCTCCATTTGACCCTCCCCCCTGGGGGGGTGGTGAGGATATCTTAATATATCCTGGACACCCTGAGCTCTGGACCCCATCCCAAGTTCTTTTTTTTGAGGGGGCCCCTCCTGCCTGCACCCTGTTACATTAGTCTTACCTTTTTAATGTTAAAATGGTCTGTGTTTTAAGAAATGATGGTGATAGTACATGGTATTTATTTGTTTGAAAACTTTGTACAAGCTCAGATTTTCTGTGAGTATGCTTGTGTTTTAATTTTACTGATCCTTCAAATCTAAATGTTCGGAAATCCTATCAGAGCTGTTTACCACTTCATTTAATGTGTATCCTGTGTGAAGCAACCTGGGAGTTACTGTCAGAAGGACACAAGTCTCAGAAAGCAAAGCATACTCATCTCTGTTTAACACATATTTATTTAGTTCTGACTGGGTTTCAAGTAAGGCTTAGTACTAACACTATGGGGAGTGATGTGCAAAGATAAGTTAAGACAGCATTTTGCCCACACAGGGTTTTTGGTTTAGCCTGTTAGCATTGTACAGTTATAAAATATCCTAGGAACCCTAACCAGTGTGGCTCAGTTGGTTGGGAGTCATTCTGGATTCTCAGTCAGGGCACATGCCTGGGTTGCTGGTTCGGTTCCCAGTTAGGCACAGGAGAGAGGCCACCGGTCTATGGATGCTTCTCTCTCACGTGGATGTTTCTCTTTTTCTCCCTCCCTTGCACCCCCCTAAAATAAATAAAATTTAGAAAACAAAACAAAACAATAATGAATGCTTGGAAGTTAGAGGTTTGGCGGTTAGTGGACGTCGGTGGAGACCCTGGACCCTGAAAAATGTGGAAAGGAAGAGGAAAACCCCGCGACAGAAAAGCAGACAGGTAGCCTTGTGTGAGGAAGAGAGGAGTGCTCCCAGAGTAAGGCAGACAGAATGGAGAGGGAGGTGCAGGTGGGCTGCGCAGATTCCCTTGTCCAGGGAGAGCCAGGTGAAGAAGGTGCAGCAGAAGTCAAGGGAAGGATGGGTTGGTTAAAGAGTCATGTGGAAGTCAGTAACACCGGGAACTGAAGAGCGACTCAACTCAAAAGGCGAAGAGGAGAAATGTAGTCCAGATGCATGGATGACCCACCACCCCTCCAGCAGGCTGCCAATGAGGGCCAGAGGGTGGAGTCGGACACGCCCCACAGGCTCACACGCCCTATCAGCGGCCTCGGACCATTGTACCCGCCCCCTGTTTCAAATTTCTTGCTAGAGCTTCCGGACCTCGGGAGCCCGGCCCACTAGAGCAGCCACAGTCTCCAGGCCCCGCCTCTCCGCCCTCCTGCTCTGGCTTCCCATAACCAAGATGGCGGCCTCCTGTGTGAGATCTCGCGCTGCACTTTCCTATCGGCTCTTTCTCGGGGGCAGGATTAACGTAGCTTGTAGTCCTGTCCTCTGGAAAGCCGCAGCTGCAGAGTTGCAAACAGTTTCCGGATCCCAGGTAAGGCCTGGGAAGTGCTGGTCCCTGTAGAGCAAGGATATGGAGCAGGCCCCCCACCTTCCCTGCTGTCTCGCCTGTCCTCAGATAAGGGACCCTTAGGGTGTTAGGTACTTAGAGTTTTGTGAGGTTGAGAGAGGAGAAGTGGGCATTGTTTTTTAGCGGTCACTCCGGAGGTTGTTTCGGGGCTTCGCAGAGTGCAGGAGGCACTAGAACGGCCGTTTTTTTTCACTGGCTGTCAGGAGTCCCTGCGTAGGTGTGGTGTTCAAGTCCAAGCCTACCCGACGGCGCCGCGGTCCAGGAGCGAGCTGGGCCGCGCCACAGGAGGTGAACGAGACCTGGACTTTTGCAGTGGCCTGGAGACTTAGCGGAGAAAGTCACACAGTGGAGAAGATAGACAGTGACTTTTTAAAGTGTCTTCCATCTGTGCAGTTTGTGTTTTAATTTCCCCAAAACTTTGTGGAGCAATGGGGACCAGACACTGAACATTTCATTTAATCCTGGAGGTAGTGGGAAGCTGCCTTCACTGATGATAGGGTGATGCCGTTCTCTGACATGGGATCTCAAAAGGAGGACACTATTTGAGAGAAAAGAAAACGAGTTTAGTTTTGGGTATAATTGTATTTCAGGCATCTGTGGGACGTCCAAGTGGAGGTTTCCAGTAGGCCCATGGATGTCTAGTTTAAGAAGATAACTGATTTACAAATCCTGTGTTACCTTTGTAGGTGGTGTTTGAGGCCATGGAAATAAATTCGATCACGTAGGGGAGGGGGTACCGAGTGAGGAATAAGCAGAGGGACAGGGCCCTGAAGGACAAACATCAAGGAAGAAGAGCCCCCAACAGACTGAGAATGAGCAGAAGGGAACAGACAGTATGGGTCATGGAAAACAGGAAAATGTTCAAGGAAAGAAAGTGATCAGCATTACCAAATATTGTGAAGTCAAATACTATGATCTAAAAACTGTGTTGAAAGAAGAGAACACTACGTTTCTATTTTTTTAATGTTTTAACTTAAATCAACCAATCTGTCCTTTCATTTATCTATCAAACTTTTGTCTTCATTATTTCTCATTGGAAAATATTCTAGAAATTATTTTTCTTTTCTTTTGAGTGTGTCTTTCCTGTATACACACAATTGTCTATAAAAGGGACTCTTGCATACAGAATATTCAAATATTTTTATTTGTTCACAATATTTTTAAGTATGTGCCTGTGTAGGGATTTGCTAACTTTTCCTCCCCAGAACTCCTGAACCTATGTGTCCTCTATGTCTTTCTCTGTCTTCTTTTAGTCATACACAAACATACATGCATATGCACAATTTTTAAAAAAATGGACCCCATTGTATTTTTTATTTCTTTAACTTACATGTTTGGTAGAAATCCCTTCAAATCACCTATTATGTATGACTGTTGTCTAATATTCTGTGGTGTGACTATATATCAAAGTTAATCTAACAGTAATGGGCTTTTTCTTTGTTTCCATTTTCTTCCCACTAATGAAGTACTTGGTAAACATCCTGCCATAGTTCTTAGGTAGTGACATTTTTATTTCTGTAGGAGTACCTATTTTTAGGTTATTGCTGCAAAGGATGTTGTGTACATCTTAAATTTTAATTGATATTTCTACAGCTTTCCAAAAAGGTGGTAGCAGTTCACATTGCATGTATGTGAATGAGTATGTATGAGTATGTATGTATGATGTATGAGTATGCCCCTTTTTCTACCTGTATTAGATAATATTATTTTTTCCAGTCAGATGAGTGAAAAACAATTTTTCTTGTTACTATAATTTTCATCTCCCTTACCATTCTTGAAATAAAGTTTTTTTAATCCATATGGCAAATGTTTACTGAACAATTTACTTGAGCCAGACACTGTGAAGCAAACAAATCATAGTCAAATAAATAATTATCAGGCAGTATCAATCCTTAGCAATCCCAAATTTCTGAATACCACCCCAGTACATGTTTAACCAAATAAGATACAGTTCGGATTATAAGTGAAAGTCTTAAGTGACCCAATCAGATCCTTAATAATTCTTTTTTAAAAAATATTTTATTTATTTATTTTTTTTAGAGAAAGGGGAAAGGAGAGAGACAGAGAGGGAGAGAAACATCAATGTGTGGTTGCCTCTCATATGGCTCCCACTAGGGACCTAATCTGCAACCCAGGCATGTGCCCTGACTGGGAATCAAACTAGCTAGCGACCCTTTGGTTCAAGTCCACGCTCAATCCACTGAGCTACAGCAGTCAGGGCCCTTAATGATTCTTAAATATTAATGCTTCTTCACTTCCATCCCCAACCTTAATACATAGTTATATTTCTCTCGAGGGCCATGTTTATGGCAAAAACCAACATTTTTATGAGTGGCTAAAACACGCCCATTTTTGCCAGGGGGGTGGTCAAAACCCATTATTTATGAAATTCCTTCAGCAGTTATAGACAACTTAATGAAGGGAGCATTAGAGAATTAGAATAATAATAAAGTGCATCTCATACAGAGTATTTTTGCATTTTGTTCGTATGTGTAAGAGTACTAGGTGGTGACATAAACAGTAAATGTTACTGTGGGTCACAGTGAGAAACACTGATGCAACAAGGAAAAAGAAACAAGTTTTGTTAGGCAATAACTTTTGGGTGCTCAGCTGGGACCCTCCATAGCAGATCTCCTCTTGCATACCAGTCTATGGCACATGTTTCATATTAATACTGAAATTTAATTGCAAGTATCTGAGTGTCCCAAATTTGAGTGCAAGCAGGCACTTTGCTTGTGAATGGCCAACTTTTCAGATTATAAACCCGTAACTATCAGCGAGGGATCTGTATACACTGGACTGTGAGATTAACTGGTAAATACAGAAGAGCACAGAAGCGCAGTGGGTAATTTAGAGGAGTTGTAATGTGTGGAGTGGTGGGCAGCTTTTCAGAGGAAGTGATGGCAGAGTCTGTAGGAGCAATTAGGAGTTATGTGAAAAAAAAAAAGAGAGGTATTTTCTTCTAGGAAGATACAATAGGTACGCAGGGGACAGAAATGTATAGAGTCCGTGAGTTCTAGTAACAACAAGTAATTGGTTATAGCAGTTCTAATCACTGGTAATTGGCAAGAGATGGAATTGGAAAGGTTTTTTTTTTTTTGCTTTGTATTAAATTTATTGGGTTGACACTGGTTAACAAAATGACTCAGGTTTTTGGTGCATAATTTTACAACATCTTTACATTTTATTGTGCATTTACTACCTTTAGTCAAGTCCTCGCTTTCTTTTTTTTATTTTTATTTAATTATTTTTTTCAAGTACATTTTTTTGTGTATTTCTCCGATCCCAGCCCCCCCCCCCGCCCCGTCTCCCCACCTCCCTCCCATTTCCAACCCCCCCCCCCAGTCCTCATCCCTGTGTCTTTCATACTTGTTCCTCAAAATCCCTCCCCCTTTTTCCCCTTAAATTCCCTTCCCTCTCCCCTCTGGTCACTGCCCACTTGTTCTCTATTTCAGTGTCTTTGTTTTTATTCTGTTTGCTTGTTTGTTTTATTCTTTAGCTTCCTGTCAAAGGTGAGATCATATGGTGTTTGTCCTTCAGTGCCTGGCCTATTTCACTCAGCATAATGCTTTCCAGTTCCATCCATGTTGTTGCAAAGGGTAGTAGCACCTTCTTTCTCTCTGCAACATAGAATTCCATTGTGTATATGTACCACAATTTTTTTATCCATTCATTAACTGACGGGCACCTAGGTTGCTTCCAACTCTTGGCTATTGTAAATTGTGCTGCTATGAACATTGTGGTGCATAGTTTCTTTGAAATTGATGTTTTAGGATTCTTGGGACATAATCCTAGCAGTGGAATTGCTGGGTCGAAAGGCAGGTTGATTTTTATTTTTCTGAGAAAATTTCATACTGTTTTCCATAATGGTTGTACCAGTCTGCAATCCCACCAACAGTGAACTAAGGTCCCCTTTTCCTCACAACCTCTCCAACATTTGTTGTTTGTTGCTTTGTTTATGATAGCCATCCTGACTGGTGTAAAGTGGTATCTCATTGTGGTTTTAATTTGCATCTCTCTGATAGCTAACGATATTGAGCATCTCTTCATGTGTCTCTGGATATTCTGTATGTCCTCTTTGGAGAAGTGTCTGTTCAAGTCCTTTGCCCATTTTTTAATTGGGTTAGATGTCTTCCTAGAGTGGAGTCATGTAAGTTCTTTGTATATTTTGGAGATTAAACCTTTGTCTGAGGTATCATTGGCAAATATGTTTTCCCATACAGTTGGTTGTCTTTTTAATTTAATACTGTTTCTTTAGTCATGCAGAAGGTTTTTATTTTGGTGAGATCCCATTTGTTTATTCTTTCCTTTATATTCCTTGCTCTAGGGGACATATCGGTAAAAATGTTGCTGCGTGGAATATCTGAGATTTTCTTGCCAATGTTCTCCTCTAGGACTTTAATGGTGTCACGGCTTACATTTAAGTCTTTTATCCACCTTGAATTTATTTTGGTGTATGGTGTAAGTTGGTGCTCAAGTTTCATTTTTTTGCACGTAGCTGTCCAGTTCTCCCAACACCATTTGCTGAAGAGGCTATCTTTACTCCATTTTATGTTACTGCCCCCTTTGTCAAATATTAATTGACTATAGAGAGTTGGATTGATTTCTGGGCTCTCTGTTCTGTTCCATTGGTCTATGTGCCTGTTTTTATGCCAGTACCATGCTGTTTTGATTACAGTGGGTTTGTAATACAGTTTGATATCAGGTATTGTGATCCCTCCTAATTTGTTCTTCTTTCTCAAAAGAGCAGCTGCTATTCGGGCTCATTTATGATTCCATATAAATTTTTTAAGTGTTTGTTCTATGTCTGTGAAATATGCCATTGTTACTTTAATAGGTATTGCATTGAACCTGTGTATTGCTTTGGGTAGTATGGACATTTTGATGATGTTAATTCTTCCAATTCATGAACAAGGTATATGTTTCCATTTGTTTGTGTCTTCCCCAATTTCTTTCTTCAGTGC